ACAATCTTTCCTACGTGCTAGAAATGTTAATTCTGTCCCACAAATGGATGTAATTGGGCAAGAAAAAAATAAATAAACTAAGGAACTAAAGGAGACACTGTCACGCTTTTTCCCCTCAAGAAAAGAATGTTAATGATACAAAATATAGATGAAGGCTTATTCAAATATACCAAATTAATTTTCATTTAAATAATTTTACTTTTTAAAAGTCTATTTGCAAGCTTAATTTTGTTGGCAAATACGTGTAATTTATGTGTATAAAAACAGTATCGTTCTCAATTATCTACTATTCAAGGTTTATGAATATCAATAGCTATGAAAGAGAAAAAGCATTCTCTTCCTTTCGTACCACTGCTCTAAACCAGCAATAACATCAATGACAAGCAGGAATCTTGAAGATCTTGACAAGGGACTTCCAAGTCATGAAACTCATGTTTTGTTTTGTTTTTTGTTATTTTAATTCTATACCAGTGTTGAAATAGAAAATAAGTAAGATATTTATAAAGTGGGTACTGCTAAAAAAATTTCCTTGTAAGATTACAGTCCAATTCCAAAACAGTTTTACTTTTCTTTTTTCTATTTATTATGTGCTACTGCAGAATCTAAGACAATTTAAAGTTCAAACAAATTTAGAGTTGGAATATAAACATATATTAGTCACATAAATACATATATAAAGAAAGAAAGCTGGGAACACATCAATCTTTAATTTACAGAAGACTGAAAACACACAACCAACTCTGCATCCCTGAGCTTCACAGCTCAGGAATCTTCTTCCTTCTTTTTTTAAATATTTTATTTATTTATTATGTATACAATATTCTGTCTGTGTGTCTGCCTGCAGGCCAGAAGAGAGCATCAGATCTCATTTCAGATGGTTGTGAGCCACCATGTGGTTGTTGGGAATTGAAATCAGGACCTTTAGAAGAGTAGGCAGTGCTCTTAACGACTGAGCCATCTCTCCAGCCCCTCTTCTTCCTTCTTGCATGGTTATACTAACAATGATTTTCCCAATCCCACAACATACTTCATTCAGCTATAAAATGCAATACCCAAAACAATGCAATTAAGATATCTAAAAATTGACAATTACATTCACACAAAAATGTCGCAGGTTTTAAGGTTTCAAAAGCACCATTGGACAGTTCCCTAAAAAGAAATCCTTTAAAAAATGCCCAAATAAGCCGGGCGGTGGTGGCGCACGCCTTTAATCCCAGCACTCGGGAGGCAGAGGCAGGCGGATCTCTGTGAGTTCGAGACCAGCCTGGTCTACAAGAGCTAGTTCCAGGAGAGGCTCCAAAACCACAGAGAAACCCTGCCTCGAAAAACCAAAAAAAAAAAAAAAATGCCCAAATATACTTGTTTGCTAACTAAAGTGGAATTTGTGGGATATTGTGAAATCAGTGAGATATGACTATAGAGAAGCAGTATTACCCTGAATTGGCTCCTGTGAAAAAAACTCATAAATAAAAGAAAGAATTTCAAGAGCTTCTTCCCAGCCATTCAGCAAGTTAGCATTATAAAATCAGCATAACTCTCCAACTTTTTGAAAAGGCCTTCTTAATTCAGCTCCCAAATAATTTCTTGTGTGTGCTGCTCAAATGTCTCCTGCAGAGGTCTGTGGGAGCACATGAATGTGACAGGGCAATCCCCCATCTTCTTTACCCCTTGTTTGACCATTCTCCAGCTTCATCACCATCTTACTGGCCACAGATTCTGTTCATTTAATATATATCTCAACTTATTAAATGAAAGTTCTACATAGGAATTACTTTACTTTAAAAATTTTTAGTTAATTTATCACTCTGTGTGTGTGTGTCCGCACATGCACCCATGTGCCATAGCATGCATGCATAGATCAGATGATAATCTGCAGGAGTCATTCTCTCCTCTTACCACCTGAGTTCCAGGAATCAGTCTTGAGGGCAAGTGCCCTTACCCATTGAGCCATCTTGCTAGCCCTAATCATCACTTTTGTTCAGTGCTGAGACTGGAACTTACAGCTTCACTCAAGTACTCTAACCATGGAGCTACCGTCTCAACCCCAAGAATGCTTATGTGCTTTGCCTCCTAAATATCCACATCTAAGGAAGTCTACGTGAGGGCTTTCTACTATCTGAATTAATGGTGCTTTTACACTGCTGTATTTTAAACAATAAGCACTATTGTAACATTTAAAAAAAAGCATTTTAATTCACAAACATCCCAAACTGTGCTGTCTATAAAGCATGGATGAAAAGTAAACACAACTAATTAAAATAAGGACACATATGTTTTCCCTGAATATAAACCATTTGTTTCCAAAAAGTAAGAAAGGGAATTAGGAGTGGGAGACCCAGGAGGAGTTGGGGGGTATTATAATCAAAATACATTATATGCATGTATGAAAATTCTCAATAACAAATATATCTTAAAAGAAATCAAAAGTAAAGTGTGTCAGACTTTTTCAGAGCAGAACTGAAGTAAAGCTGACATATGAACCTCATGCCTCCTGCTACAAAACTAAAAGCTGCGTGGGAAGCATGTTCAAACTGTAGAACAGTTTAGGACTTGACACCAACAGGCAGACAGGAAGGGTAGAATGCAGTTAGGAGCCTTCAGTTTCCGTTTTTATGAAATAAGGAATTCAGGGCCTAAAATAAGCTATAGAAATAAATTCAAAAGCATTCTGTTGTCAACCTTACCAATAATGGGAAAACACTAGAAGAGAAAATACAGTGTGTTGCTCACTTATAATTCTTGTTACGGTAAAATCATCTTTTATAGAACCAGAAATGAAATACATCTCCATCTCCATGGAAATAATATTCCCCAGTATGTGATACTAAGAAATATAGGTTTATGCAGATGTTCACAATGCAAGAGTACTCGTAGGATATGGGATTTATTGGGGACTAAAGAGAACACAGGTTCATAATCAGATGAGTTTTGGACTTTGGTTCTGCCACTCACTTTCATCATAGATAATTTAAGTCTGATTTGAGCCCCAGGATTTTATTTTGTTTTGTTTTTGTTGCTTTTGTTGTTTATTCTGCTTTATATGTTTTTAATATTTATTTATTTATTTATTTATTTATTTATTTATTTTATGTATCTGAGTGTTCTATCTGCATGTATGACTTTATGCCAAAAGAGGGCATCAGATCCCACTACAGATGGCTGTAAGTTACCATGAGAATTGGACTTAGGACCTCTGGAAAAGCAGTCAGTGTCATAACTACTGAGCAATCTCTCCAACCTCCTTGTTTTGTATTTTTAATCAGCAATATATATATATATATATATATTTATATATTAAGACCTATCTTATAAATCTGTTCAGGACATAGAGATAGCATAAACCATCTAATTCCAGGCCTGGCACATCCCTGGTTATGGCTTGTGGACAGCCCTATTTCTGAATGCCTCTATTGACTTCAATGCACTAGCCTATCACTGGGAATTCTAACAGCAGTGGTTGGTGTTACTACCATTGTCAATCACCTCTTAGCAGCCAAAGAAAATACTTATTTGAGGCAAAACAAAAGGTTCTTAAGGTTTTTTTTTTTGGGGGGGGGGTGTTTTTTGTTTTTCATTTTTGGGTGGTGTTTTTATTTTCATTTGTATTTTAAGTTCAGGGGCTGTGCTGTAGCTCAATGGTAAAGTGTTTGGTTACCACTGTACCAATTATACCAATGGAAAACACTCTGTGTTACATACCCAGCAGTGTGTGTGTGTGTGTGTGTGTGTGTGTGTGTGCAAGTGCCTTTACCCACTGAGCCATCTTGTTTGCCCTAATTATTATTTTGTAATAAATAATATATGTAGTAAAATACTAAGAATAACAGATATAATAAAACTATGTAATAGTTTCTGACTACAGTTATGAAGCATGATCTACCATAATACCATCTTAAAACAAAAAGAACTTGGAGGGGGAGAATGATGAAAGAGTTGTCTCGATGAGCGTGCACTTCAGGGTCAGGAGGAATCCTCATGTCAGGGAAATTCAAGGAATTCAGGATGATCCCAGAGAAGACTCCTAGCAATAGTAGAGAGGGTCCCTGAACTGGACATTTCTTATATTCAGATTGATGACTACCTTAATTGTCATTAGAGCGTCTTCATCCAGTAACTGATGGAAACAGATGCAGAGAACCATACCCAAGCACTGGGCCAAACTCCAAGTATCCTGTTGAAGAAAGGGAGGAACCCACAGAAACAACTAACCTGGGCTCATAGGAGCTCACAGACTCTGGACCAATAGTGAAGGATCCTGCATGGACTGACCTAAGCCCTCTTCATATGTGTGACAGTTGTGTAGCTTGATCTACTTGTGGGACTCCTAACACTGGGATCCTTAACTCTTAAGCTAAGTTTTGGGAACCTATTCATCATATTGGATTGCCTTGCCCAGACTTAATAGAAAGGGAGGAGCTTAGTCCTACCTCAACTTGATATGCCATACTCTAACACGGATGGGAAGCCTGCCCCTCTCTGAACAGAAACAAAGGGGAGGCAACCAGGGCCAGGGGCGGGGGGGAACAAGAGGAGAGGAGGGAGGGGAAACTGAGATCAGGATGTAAAATAAATGAAAAAAATAATTAAAAACAACAAAAAAAGAAACTTCAGCCATTATTTAATACGAATCCTGAATCCTCTGTGGAGTTTAAATGAGATAATCAATTTTTTTAAAAGCTTCTAGCTTCATCTCTCACTCCAAGAAACAGCATTTTTTTTTTGTATTTTTGAACCTTCCAATTACAAGACAGGATTTCTTTCTCTATTAGAATGTCTAGGAAAAGACAATGTAAGAGATAATGTATAAACTTCACTATACTTACATACTTTTAGAAATAACCTTTATTGCCTTGTTTCGGGAGAAAAGAAAGGTTAGTCTATATAACGACAATTCTACAATATAAAGCCAACTTCAAAAGATCCATCTTTAGTATATATTTGCATTCTCATAACAAAATACATGTTAAAAACTATCTTCTGAATACATAAAGGAGACATACCTGGAATGATATCATTGATGTGCAGAAGAATTGTACTTTCAACACTTGCAAAGCTACAAAGTTGTACTCCATCAAACATTCCATCCCAGTTGCCAATAGGGTTATCCTTGAAATGCCAAAAAAGTAAACCTTTATATACCGTTGTCAATAAATATAAATGTGAACACCAACATTTCTTTCAAAAGTATTATCTAAGATATCTTTCATAGAAAAATGTTAACTATTTTGCCCAAAAGAAAGGCTGTATTAGAAATATCTGCTAAAGTAACAACGTTTTACAATAAAAATAATAACAATTAACTTACAGCAAACACACAAAATAATGAATCAAAAGCCTTTTTCATACTTTAGTCTGCAGTAATAACACCAGCTGAGGTTTAAAGAGACATTGTCTGCAAAAGAAAATTTACTAGGATTGCATTATTTTACCCAGAAACCTACCCTTAAAGTTAATCACACATCTGCATCCCCTGGGCACTTTGCTCACTGTATTACTGTGTGTCTTTTTATAAACAGAAGAGCAGTTACTTCAGAATTCTCTTGTTATCTGTGGGTATACAAGACTTTCCTCAAAAAATGGGGAAAGTCTTGATTGTCTAAGTTATTCTCTACTGTGTCACCAGCACAGGAGTTATTCGTGAGGCACAAGCAGATGGTCATGAAACAACTGCCCTGAGAACCAGTGAGGAATGTTTGCGTGTCCCTGGAAGCAGACAGCCATGAGTAAAGTTGGGATCGACCAACTTTCTTATCAAGAAGTCTAACGGGACTGTTTGGAACTGATGCTCGCATAAATCAAACAATGGACAGAATTTGTGTGGAGCTGGCAGGCAAGTCTCAAGACAGCCTGCCTGGGCTAAATAAGATGACCTCCTAGGTCACCATTAAGAACGGAGAGGACCCAAACAGTTCCTGTAACATCTAAAGCCTGGCCCAAGAAACCTATAGCAAGGGGAGACTAAGTCCAAAAACTAATGGCCTTCTTTCTCCAACATTCTCTCTACCCAGTCTACAACTCCTCTGAAACACTAAACTCTCATTTAGAGAATTCTTGTTCTTAATTATTAACGATTCTGAGAGACCCACGGGTCTTACTCTGGCTCTAATTTCACATAGTGAGAGTCTGGCAAATTCTTATTTTGTACCTAACTAATGAGCCATCTTACACAATTTCTAAGTACAAGGCAACAGAAACACACTGGAACATTCATACCCAACCATCTCTGTAGAGCATTTATGAATAAATAAAAATGATTATTAAAAATATTCACTGTGTGAGTCTGCTGCTCATAATCCTCTCCCAACACACCCTGGTAAGAACAATTATGAAGGAATCTCCTTTATCCATAATGAACTTTTGACTATACTTTCAGTCTATGATAAAAATGTTCTCAACTTCTTTCTCCTCATTCTCTTAGGGACACGTTAATTCACTATGTGCACTGGAATGCATCCATTGTTATCAAGTATGGTTATTCAGTAATAAAATGAGTGACACAAACAAAAGGAGTCATATTATACCATATGACCTCACTTCTGAGGTACCTACAGCAGGCAAACACCCAGTCTGTAGTTACCAGGCATGGGCAAACTGGGCCGAATTTATTTAATAGAAACAGAGCACACAGCACAGGATGATGAAAAAGTTCTGTAGACAGACAGTGGAGAGGCCATGATGAGAATATGCCAAATGATTTGAACTGTTAGTGTAACCATGGTTACACTGGAACCTTTCTTATACACAGTTTGCCGCAATAAGAAACCAGTTTTTAGACAGTGAAAATCCTGTGGGAATACTCTGTCAACTCAAAAAGCAGTATGGTTCTTTTCCGGAGTATTTTCTATTAATAACTTTCTATATTCATTATTATGAGAAAATTAATTAAACTTTAGCAAATATACAAAAAAGTATCAAAAGTATTTTTAAATTAAAGGAAAATACAGTATCATACAATATATTTGGACTTAGAGAAATGTCAGTTTGTTTTATTGTTTTGGTTTGATTTTTGGTTTTGTCTACTGGTCAGTTAAAATAAGGAGAATTTAAAGACTGAGAGTATTATCCCAGTTTATTAAAACACGAAAAAAATGTGGGAAACATATTGTTTCTGCTCACATTCCTACTGTAATGTTCCTGTACCAAAGACAAACTGGAATAAGTTCTTTAAAATACTGTAAATTAGTCCATTTTAAGAATACAAAGTGTTCAATTTATTCCTAAATTGATAATAAAATTAACATATATTTACAATAATAAAACTCAAAAAATCCTTACCATGTCCACACCAACAAAATATCCTAGACTCTCTTTTTCTGGCAAAACATCACAGAATATTATTGTTCCAGATTCTACACTTTCTCCGACCTTCAGCGATACTCTGGAGTTTATTTCCAAAGGGGGAGGTTCAGCCTGCATTGTATCCATCGGGACTGCAAAATCACTTTCCAATCCATTGTCATCGTCGTCTATGCGCTCCAGCTTGTCCAATGCCACACACACGCCACAATCTTCATCACACTGAAAAATCTGTTTCCCTTGATATACCCTATCAGTGAAACCTTGGCCACAACGTTCTTCCTAGTTTTCAAAGTTTTTTAAAAAAGAGATATGAAAAGATTATCCATTAAAGGGATTTCAGGAAATTACTTTGGAAAAACTCTAAATTCTATCCATAATATGAAATATGACTAGCAGCTGCTGTTGGGTTTAGGGTGTTTAAAGAATAAAGAAGCTGTATCTGATGATGAAACTAACTCATAATTTCAGATCATAATTCTTTTGAGAAAGAGTGAGGATTAAATTTACAACATAGTTCTACCACAACTTTTGTCATGAACAGACATTCAACTTTAACCAAACAGCAGCGTCAACTCCATTTACTGAGAACAAACTATAACCATCTCCAGCCATCCACCGTACAACTACTATAAGTCATGTGTGCAGTTCTACCACGACTTTTGTCATGAACAGACATTCAACTTTAACCAAACAGCAGCGTCAACTCCATTTACTGAGAACAAACTGTAACCATCTACAGCCATCCACCGTACAACTACTATAAGTCATGTGTGCTCTAAGCACTTCACAGATGAGGAACAGGTCAGGAGAACTTGATGTAGGTTAAGTAGCTGGCAACCCTGCTAGTACATACCATAGCTGGCAGTCACAGCCTAATTATTTCACTGCTTGAAAAGCCAAATCAAGAAGCAAGTAAAGCACGACCTCTCTCTACTCCTGAGAGTGTCCAAATGTGAACCAATAGTCAGTTTGGAATATAGAATTCTTAGATATGTTGCCAAGGCACATAAGTTCCAAGGCAGTTTATACATTCCGGGGATAAGCATGAGCAAACTGAAATTGCTGCAACACACTTCAAAAATTTTACCTCTAAACTGTTATACTTAGTAGCATACACTAAGAACTGGGAATCCGGTGGGCACTATCACAAGAGAGTTCACAATTTTTTAAGTGTTTATAATTACAATTGGCAGTGTTAACTTTTAATATAGGTAACTTAAAAGCTTCTAAAATATGAAGTCCAGAATTAATGACTTTTAAGTTTCTACCATAAGAGATAAATTTTTAAAGTTTTCAAGAATTGTCTTTATATCCTCTCAATTTATCATTAAATAAATTTGGGGGCTGAACTATAGCTCAGAGGCAGAGGGTCCTGAGGTCCATCCTGAGAACTGTACTAAAAACAAACAAACAGAAAACACGAATCTTATAAAGGGGAAAATATGTGCTCGTGGTCTCTCGCTCACGTGCACACTCTTTCTCATACGCTCTCTCTCTCTCCTTCTCTCTCAAATGTCCTATCAAACTAACCAGCAATTCTACTCTAAAGAAAATCCCCGAAACTGTCCTGTCCGCTAATAACGGTCCTCTGAAGCGCACAACTCCTGGAAATTTCTCTTCCCCAGATCGCAGCTGTACTTTCACAGGGCTGCCCACATCTACCTGGAAACCTTTAGTTAGTCGAATTCTGTTTCTAAACAGGCTGAGCCTCTCCTCACAGTTGGTAATTGCCAACAGTAACTCTGTAAATTTCTCAGTAATGTGATTAGAGAAGGAAGGGAGTAAAACAAAAGAGACTTTGGAGCCTAAGAATGATTGTGTGTGGTTCTGTTTATCTGGCCCCGGGAGGAGTCCGGCCAAGCTGGAGTACCCGTGTAGAGGTGCAGGAGCAAGTGTTACAGAGATTGAATGCCATGTTCAGGAAAACGGATGGTTCGGGAATATGGTAAAAGACAGGCAACCTGAGCCCTTTAGGCCAGCTTCCATTTAAGATGTAATTAGATTGTCCATGGCTGCTCACATCAGGCTCGCTCATTCATAATGTACCCTCCATGTTCAGATCCAAAGTGTCTGGGTCAAGTGGAAATCAAACTAGTCTTTGAAAATTGAGATAGGACCTGTGTAATAGGCCAATCAATGCAATAAATTCTGCTCAAATCCAGACATCTTGGGTTTCAGAAGAACTCCTTCAAAGCTTGAGATTTCCCATTTGTCCTGTCTTTACTCATTTTATCTAAAGCAAAGGACAATGGCACGGGGTTTTGATCCTACATAATGTACTGGCTTTGTGGGAGCCTAGCCAGTTTGGATGTCCACCTTCCTAGATATGGACGGAGTGGGGAGGACCTAGGACTTACCACAGGGCAGGGAACCCTGACTGCTCTTTGGACTGGAGAGGGAGGGGGAGGGTATTGGGGGGAGGGGGAGAAGGGTGGGAGGAGAGGGAGGGAAATGGGAGGCTGGGAGGAGGTGGAAACTTGTTTTGTTTTTTTTTTCTCCTTTTCTCAATAAAAAAAGTTAATAATAAAAAAAAGAAAACAATTTTAGTAGTACAAGAAGGCAAAGAATTAGGATCACTTTAGAGGTTCTAACCTTAAAAAAAAATACTTAAAGTTCTTGTCAAATAGATCTTTCACTTCCTTGGTCAGAGTTACCCCAAGATATTTTATGCTATTTGTGGCTATCGTGAAAAATGATGCTTCTCTGATTTCCCTCCCTGCTTTTTTGTCCTTAGTGTAAAGGAAGGCAACTGATTTTTTGGAGTTGATCTTGTATCCTGCCACATTACTAAAGGTGTTTATCAGCTGTAGGAGTTCTTTGGTTGCGGCAAACTTCTCGACCAGCGAGAAAGAACAACCAACACACGAGGATTCTTCTCAGATCATGCTTTAATGGAGTGCCCTTGGTTGAGGGAGAGCAGGAAGCGAGAGGGCCCCAAGAGCACTAAAGCAGCTGCTTATATAGGGAGTAGGCACACGGGTTGCCCTGTGATTGGCTGCCACCATCAGCTGACACCAGACTGCATCGGGATAGGCCCAAGGACTCTAAACCACCGTGCATGCGGGAAGTGGGGGACACACAGCTCCCAAAGGCATAGCCAAATATGGAGTTGTTTATTTCCAACAAGACAGGATGTCAGCGCCATCTTGTAATGGCGATCCTGTCTGGCTCCCTGCATTTGGTAGAATTTTTGGGGTCACTTATGTATACTATCATATCATCTGCAAATAACGAAAGCTTAACTTCTTCCTTTCCAATACGAATCCCCTTGATCCCCTTATGTTGTCTTACTGCTATTGCTAAAACTTCAAGCACTATATTGAAGAGGTATGGAGAGAGTGGACATTCTTGTCATGTTCCTGATGTTAGTGGGATGGGTTTAAGTTTTTCTCCATTTAATTTAATGTTAGCTGTTGGCTTGCTGTAAATAGCTTTTATTATATTTAGGTATGCCCCTTGTATCCCTAATCTCTCCAAGACCTTTATCATAAAGGGGTGTTGAATTTTGTCAAATACTTTTTCAGCATCTAATGAAATGATCATATGTTTTTTTTCTTTCAGTTTGTTAATATGGTGGATCACATTGATAGATTTGCGTATGTTGAACCAGCCCTGCATCTCTGGGATGAAGCCTACTTGATCATAATGGATAATTTTTCTAATGTGTTCTTGGATTCGGTTTGCCAGTATTTTATTGAGAATTTTTGCTTCGATGTTCATGAGTGAGATTGGCCTGTAATTCTCTTTCTTGGTTAAGTCTTTGTGAGGTTTTGGTATCAGGGTAACTGTAGCTTCATAAAAGGAATTTGGCAATGACTCTTCTGTTTCTATATTGTGAAATATCTTAAGGAGTATAGGTATTAGCTCTTGAAAATAATCTATTACTAGAAGCTCCCAAGGTTATAAAGTCAAGAAATGGAAAATGCTGAATCAATCCTTGAGTCAGCTTTGGACAGGTGTGCTTTCACTAATGGTATATAATGTACAAAAATAGAAAAACATACCACGCAGAAAACGGCTACCATAGATGTATAAAAATTTAGCCTTTAGCTAGGGAGATGGTTCAGCAAGTAAAAAGGTTCAGCAAGTGAGAGTGTTTGCTGATCATGCATAAAGTCCTAAGGTCAAATTCCCTGCACAGGAGTAAAAAGCTGAGTGTGGACAGACACCCTGTAACTCCAGAGCTGTGGGGAATGGAGACAGCAGCTTAGCGTCTGCTCAGTAAGGCCACCCTGTATCAACAGAATTAAAGCAGAGAGACAGAGCAGACCGCCAGGCATCCTCTCCAGGCCTCTGGACCAACACCTGTGCACACAACACAGATACAATAAAATAAAATTTACACAATAAAAATCTGGGTTTTAGGACTGTATTCTTTTCGCGGTACTGCAATCAACATTTCATGTTTCTTTATGATATAGAACCAAGTTGATGTAGTTTACGGCAGAGTGTGGGATCTTTTACTTTGTCACTAGCTCTTATAGACCAAGCTGGCCTTGAACTCACAGAGATCCGCCTGCCTCTGCCTCCCACGTGCTGGGATTAAGGGTGTGCGTCACCACTGCCCAGCTTTGTTGTTGCTTTAGTCTTGATTAGGGTTTTTATTGCTGTTGAAAAGACACCATGACCCTGGCAGCTCTTACAAAGAAAACATTTAATTGGGGGGCTTGCTGACAGTTCCGAGGTTCAGTCCACTATCATCATAGCAGGGATCACGGCAGATGTGCTGGGTGGAGGCAAAAACTCAATTGTGACACTGAGCACAGTTTGAGCAAAGGAGACCGCAAAGCGCACCCCACAGTGATACACTTCCTCCAACAAGCCACACCTCCTAATTGTGCTGCTTCCTGTGAGATTATGGCAGCCAGTCACATTCAAACTACCACAAGCTTTGAGAACTGAAATCCTATAGTCTCTCCCCCCCCCCCCCCCCCCCCCCAGATAACTATGTGGTAAAGCAACCCAAGAACCATGGTCAGCCGGCTTACACAGGCACGCGGAAAAAGGAAAATGGCCTTGGTTCCCAAGACTGACTGAAATCATCTCCGTAGCTTGCTAAGTAGTCAGCTCCTTTCCTAAGGCGGTCCCAGGTCTACTCAAGGCTGTATCCCCAGAACCCAATACATGATAGTCCTAACTTTGTTGACTAGTTTTTCCGTTAATAACAATGGGAAGAGGAGTGGTTTGTTATGTTTGCTTGTTTCTGTTTTCTTTTCTGAAATGACACCCCCCCCTTTTTTTTTTTAGTTAGCCCAGACTGACCTCAATTTTCTAATTCTCCCATCTCCCAAACTGCAGGGATTATAATGTGCCATAAATTGGGACCGTTTAACTTCCTCAAAGTAAATACAACCCATTAGGTGCCCTGAAAGAGGACCAATTAATGAGTCATCTCTGACGGGGGCAGGGAGTAGGGAGATGGTGAGTGGATAGAGATGCGTGCATGCTCTTGCTTTAGACAAAGCAGTTCACACGCAAGCCTTGAGGGGTTGATGTGGAGACCTGTGATGCTATTCAGTGTCTGGGAATATTGGTTAAGGGACCTCTGGACTCCCCAGCCGCTAAAACACTTAGAGGGGCAAATGCTTTAGATAATGTGTCTCCCCTTGAACTCTCGGTCCCCAGCTGGTGATGCTGTTTGGGAGAGGTTATAGAATTTTTAGGGTCAGAAACCTTGCTGGGAGAAGTGCATGGCTTGGGGTGAGCTTCAAGAGTTTATGGCTTCATCTCTCTTCTCATTCGCTGTCTCTGCTCCCTGTGTGTGGTTGGGACCCAATTCCTCAGCTTCCTGTTCCGGCTGCCTGCTGCCACGCCTCTGATGCAATTACGGAGTTTTGCTCTGCCTGGAACCATAGAACAAAATGAACCGTTGCCTCAGTAAATTGCTTTTGGCTTACGGTATTTTCTCACAGCCAGAAAAAAAGTATCCTATGCAATTTTCCATATGCTATTGGTTTAATCCAGGAATTCAGAACCCGAAGGCATTAGAAACCAACCACACTATTATTTAATAGTTAAGAATTTTCAAGTTAATTTTGTCTCAGGCAGCAGTTCTCAACCTGTGGGTCTCAAACCCCACAAGGGTGGCATAGCAGATCTCCTATATACCAGGATATTTACATTATAATTCCTGTCAGTAGCAAAATTACAGTTGTAGCAGCAAGATGAGGAACTGTATTCAAGGGTCGCAGCCTAAGGAAGGGTGAGAGCCATGGACTCTAAGGACACTTCTGCTTCTAATTCTGGCAAATAAGCACCCTTTAAGTTACTCAAGAAGAAATAAAGTCCTCCACAGCAAGCCAGCTATAAGGAGAAAGTGGGACAATTATCCTCTTGTGGAAAGACAATCCCGCTCTTCATGCTTCCTGGTTACTGCCTTTGATCCCTCTGCTTGACTTGAAGAGGACTAAATTGGCCAAATGCTCTGAACTTAGAATTGTAAATGAGGGGTTTTCTCTTTGCCCAAGAGCAGGCAGGCAGCTTGACCTTCACTTTCCATCCAAAGCCAAAGCAAATCCCAGACAATTCAAGCATTAAGTGAAAAATAAAATTAGACAACAAAACAAGAAACCTAGAAAAAATGTCTATAGATTGTTATCAAATACCTGCGTGGACAAAGACCAAGAAACATGAACAGGGTCATGAACAAAATCATGGGCAGATGTGAGTGAATGTAATTAATTTTTAAATGAATTTCTTTTATTCTAATTAGATGTAGTGGGGGGAAAATGGTCTTAGGCAAATTGGCTTTT